GAGATCCGCCTGGCTCTGCCTCCCGAGTGCTGGGATTAAAGGCGTGCGCCACCACCGCCCGGCTGCTTTTATCTTTTTAAGAGTCCATTGATAACTGTCATTTTTTTAGTTCGGTATGCTTTTTTTCTATTATCAAATTGCCTTTAGTGTTTGGTAGCTCACTTTAGTCTTAATTTCTCTGACATTGTGTTGATGACATTTTGCCCTTTGCCAGAGACCTGCTAGTGCACCTGATAAGTGCTATATGGGAGAAGGTGCTTGACTACTTTCAAAAACCTGCTTATATTTTATTTCTTAGAAAAAAACTAATATATGATTTTTTTTACTTAATTTCTTTTCCTTTAATTTATTAGCTGTTTTTAACTGCTCCCTTTAAAATATAATGGAATAATGAGTCTTTATACTTAGTACTTAGCTTCTGTAATTAGAAACGCATGTCCTACCTGGCTCATGTAGGCTGTTGATTGCCTCCTCCTGGCACTTTATCCAATTTTAGTATTTTAAAGAACTCCTGGTCCTTTTACTGTCTCCATGGTTTTGCCTTTTTTAAGAATTGCCAACTAGGTGGTGGTGGTGCATGCCTTTAATCCGAGCACTGAGGGAGGCAGAGGCAGGTGGATCTCTGTGAATTCGAGGCCAGCCTGGTCTACAGAGTGAGTTCTAGGACAGCCAGGGCTACACAGAGAAACCCTGTCTTGAGGGGTTTAAAAAAAAATTGCTAACTATGTAGTCCTTTTATATTGACATTTTTTCACTTAGTAATGTGTATTTAAGGAAATTCTTGCCTTTTTGTAACAAGCTTATTTTAAAATTTTGTGTTTTTAGATTGTTGAGCAGATAAATACAAAACTACCATCATCGTTTGTAGAAAAGCTTTTTATACCATCATCTAAACTGCTATTTTTACGATACCATAAAGAAAAAGAGGTATGTAATACATGGATAACAACAAGTGAATTGCCTCAGACATTGAAAAGTTGGACTTCTGTTGCTTAGCAGACTATGTCAGTATGAAACACTTGATATTGAGTATAAAGGGATTACAGTGAATGCTTTAGGTTAATACATATTAAACTATTACCTTCATGAATGAGGTACCTAATAACCTATTAAGAGTACCCACAATTTACTTTCATTAAATTGATTTTGGTAAATTTCTACAAAGGCAAAGAGGCAGATTTATTTCTAAAGGTATAAATTCAAAAGAATTACATGTATTAAAAATAAAAATTACTAACAAATTAAATAAAATAAAAATTACTAATTACTAATCAGCTGATACTCCAAATTGACTATAGACTTAGGTAGATAGGGGGAAATCAAGCTTAATCTGGTGTTTGTATATGTGTTGGTATTGACTTTAAAAAAAAAAAAAAAAAAAAAAAAGCCCTGCAGTGCTTCTTGAGAAATTTAATACTGGCAGTTTTTAGAGCATTCTTTCTTTATAATAAGTCCATAGAGCTTTGTAAAAAGCTCATTAATATATAGGGTACTTAAGGTTGGTCTTGTAAAATGAAGCTTTTGGGTGTTATGGACTGTGAGCATCTAAATCTTGAATGCTTATCTCCCTAGCATGCTGTATATAATGATTTTTAACTACTTCCTTGAAATTTTTTTTGTAGGTTGTTGCTGTGGCCCATGCTGTTTATCAAGCAGTGCTCAGCTTGAAGAATATTCCTGTTCTGGAGACTGCATATAAATTAATTTTGGGAGAAATAACTTGTGCACTAAATAATCTGCTACACAGTCTCCAGCTCCCTGATGCCTGTTCTGAGATTAAACATGAGGCTTTTCAGAATCATGTTTTCAATGTTGATAATGCCAACTTTGTAGTTATATTTGATCTCAGTGCCCTGACTACAATTGGAAATGCCAAAAACTCATTAATTGGGGTGAGTCTTTAATTGTAAAGACTTAGTTATTTATGCATTTTGTGTTATTTCTGGTTTTGAGGCAAGTTCTGCTGTGTGGCCCAGGTGGGCCTTGAACTCATTGTGTTATTGCTTTAGCTTCCTGAGTACTGACCAGGATTACTGGCATATACCACCACTCCTGACCATAAAGATTATCCATGGTTAAGCCCTTTCCACCCTTTCCTATCTCGTTTACTTCTTTTTTTGTAGTAGAGTATATATAGACCAGATTAACCTCAGATGCTGAGATTATAGGCATGTATCACCATGTCCATTCATAACCTCATATATTTTATTTGTGGTGCAGGGCCAGAGTTCACGATTTGGTACCTTTCCCCCCCTTTTTTTGGTTTTTCGAGACAGGGTTTCTCTGTGTAGTTTTGGTGCCTGTTTTAGATCTCACTCTGTAGACCAGGCTGGCCTCGAATTCACAGAGATCCACCTGGCTCTGCCTCCCAAGTGCTGGGATTTGCCCTATTGGTACCTTCTTAAATTGCTCTCCATCTTAATTTTTGAGATAGGATCTGTCATTGAACCTGGGCATCACTGATTTCAGCTAGTTAGTCTGTCTCTTGAGAGCTGAGATTGCAGCTAGCTGTATGCCTACTTTATGTGGGTGTTGGGGATCTGAACTCATGTCCTTGTGTTTGCGTAGTGAGCACTTTACCCACTGAGCCATCTTCTCAGCCTAGGCTCATATTTTT